TGGTCCCGCCCAGATCCAAGTCTCCTATGTCTCCACTGGTCCAGCTCAGGTCCATGTCTCATGTGTATTGCTGGACCCGCTCAGCTCCAAGTCTCCTGTGTATTGCTGGTCCCGCTCAGCTCCAAGTCTCCTGTGTATCACTGGTCCCGCCCAGATCCAAGTCTCCTCTGTCTCCACTGGTCCAGCTCAGCTCCATGTCTCATGTGTATTGCTGGACCCGCTCAGCTCCAAGTCTCCTGTGTATCACTGGTCCCGCCCAGATCCAAGTCTCCTATGTCTCCACTGGTCCAGCTCAGGTCCATGTCTCATGTGTATTGCTGGACCCGCTCAGCTCCAAGTCTCCTGTGTATCACTGGTCCCGCCCAGATCCAAGTCTCCTCTGTCTTCACTGGTCCAGCTCAGCTCCATGTCTCATGTGTATTGCTGGTCCCGCTCAGCTCCAAGTCTCCTGTGTATCACTGGTCCAGCCCAGATCCAAGTCTCCTCTGTCTCCACTGGTCCCGCTCAGCTCCATGTCTCCTGTGTATTGCTGGTCCCGCTCAGCTCCAAGTCTCCTGTGTATTGCTGGTCCCGCCCAGATCCAAGTCTCCAGTCAAGTCAAGTCACCATTTAAATAGCCCTTTTAACAATATGGACTGCTTCAAAGCAGCTTTACAGTGATGATAGGAAATTAAAGTAACAGAGATTGTTTTGGCTTTACAGCAGCTCTAGAATAAAGTGATTCTCCAGCTAAAGTTAGTTAGTTTTGTTAGTTTATTTTTTTCATCTCTGAGCAAGCTTTAAAATCGCAAACCTGTGAAAACGCTGACGGCGTGCACATGCGTATTACGTGTTTAGTCTATAGGTATGTGGGTTTGAATATATATGGGGGCAGGCATGTAGTCTTTCTTTACAAATTGACCTAAACAAATTACTTGTCTGGCCTTAAAAATGTATAATACAGAACTATTTATCGCTTCCGAGTAGGAACTATTTTGACAATGTTTTATCTGTACAGAGGTAAAGGGAAGGAGAAGGGGGCCTTCACAGGGGAGAGACTAGTTGAAATTTCAGGACTGCGTTGTCGTCGTGTCCAAGCGCTGGTCCTTCATCAGATCTGGATACGGCGGACTGCGGTAAACCTCGGGATAATCAGAGAGACTAATATTAACGTAGACCTCCATTCTTCTTATGATGGATTGAGTACATCAGGATGTATGGGGAGTGTTCCCGGTTCCGGCTGACCTAATCTATGCAGCCTGACATTGAATTATAGAAGTCTATAATGTGTAATGTGTATTCTAGGTCAAAGAGATGTGTTTTTAGTCTAGATTTGAACTGAGAGTGTGTCTGCTTCCCGGACAATTTTAGGAAGACTGTTCCAGAGTTTTGGTGCTAGAGAGGAAAAGGATCTACCGCCAGCAGTCGATTTTGATATTCTAGGTATCATCAACTGGCCGGAATTTTGAGATCGCAATAGACGTGAAGGACTATAATGCGTTAAGAGCTCGCTCAAATACAGGGGAGCTAAACCATTTAGTTCTTTGTAAGTAATCAGCAATATTTTAAAATTTATACGATGTTTAATAGGGAGCCAATGCAGTGTTGATACAGTAGAACCGAGATAATATGGTCATACTTCCTGGTTCTAGTAAGAATTCTAGCTGCTGCATTTTGGACAAGCTGTAGTTTATTTATTAAGCGTGCAGGGCAACCACCCATAAGAGCATTACAATAATCTTGCCTTGATGTCATGAACGCATTAACTTATTGTTCCGCATTTGTCATTGAGATCATATGACGTAATTTAGATATATTTTTAAGATGGAAGAATGCAGTTTTACAGATGCAAGAAACGTGACTTTCAAATGAAAGATTGGTATCAAAGAGCACACTCAGGTTCCTAACCGATGGCGAAGGTTTGACAGAGCAGCCATCAAGTGTTAAACAGCATTCTAGGTTATTACGTGAGAAGTTTTTTTGTCCAATAATTAGAATATATGTTTTTCAGAGTTAAGTAGTAGGAAATTACTCGTTTTTTTATATCAGCTATGCATTCCGTTTATTTTGTGAATTGGTAAGTTTCGTCAGGGCGTGAAGAAATATAGAGCTGGGTATCATCAGCAAAACAGTGAAAACAAATGCCATGTTTCCTAATGATATCTCCCAAGGGTAACATGTACAGAGTGAACAGCAATGGTCCTATGTATCTCCTCCCTGGCTCCTCCCACCATCATCACCTCCCTGGTTTCTCCCGCTGGCATTTCCTGCTCTGTCCTTCACCAGCCCCTCATCCTCCTCCAGTGACCACTCGCTCCTCAGTTGGACTTTCATTTTGATGTTTACAGTGCAAATACGCCTTATAAACATATTTATTTGTATACATAGATATTTAATTTAGAATACTCTTTTTGTTTATTCAATGATATTCTTGTTTGCCACAATAGTGTAACATCTTTATTTTTATGGGGGTTTTCCCCACAACTGCTGAATGGATATTCAGACTGGTTTTTGAACTGGTTCAGCTGGTTCATAAAAAAAAGATTCATCAAAATATTTATTTGTAAATCAGGGGCCGTATTCACAAAGAATTTTAAGGCTAAAAGTAGCTCCTAACTGGCGAATTTAGGAGCAACTCCTAAAAATAATGGGCGTGTCACTCCTAACTTTAGGACTCCTAATTTGTTTCACTAAGAGTAATTCACGAAGCATTTTAGCCCTAAAAGTAGCACCTAAGTCTGGGACAGCTTAAAAGAAGTCGAGAGGACTCCTAACTCACTAAGACCAATTCACAAAGGATTGTAGCGCATACCACCACCTCTCACAGTCGTCCGGGGTACGCGACACAAGCGGGAATGCTGCATTGATCTGCAAACAAATCTCCTGTGTGTTTTGCTTGATATCCCAGTGGCGAATTTTCCATTTATCTTTTTTTTTTTTAAACACAACTGAGCCAGCAGCAGTAATGGTGTGTTCACACCGAACGCGAATTTAATTATTTGCGCGAGTAGATTACATACAAAGTCAATGCAAAGACGCGAATAGACGTATCATTCGCGCCGGGCGTTGCGATTGACGCGAATTGGGCGATGCGTTTGCCGCGAATGTCTTCCGCTCAAGTTGAAAAATTTGAACTCGAGCGAATGTTCAAGCGTCTAACTAGACGCGATAGACGCGTATTTGACGCTCTATTCGCGTTCGGTGTGAACACACTGATCCTGCGTCCAGTTGGGCTTTCTTTTCCGTTTTGGCGAGTTCATAATCCACCGTCATCCAACTATTACATTAGGCTACTTCAATAGGAGCAACATTTCCTTAGTCTATTTAGGCTAATAGGATGTCAATTAATGTGTTAATGCAAAGTGTTAATGCAAGTGTCGTTTTTCATTATTAAGCAAGTGGCTGTTTTCATTAGGGTAGGCTACCTTGATTTAATTTAATTTAATTCACGCCTTTTTTTCTCTCTCTCTGCCTTTTTAGAATTACACTTCACTGGGGTATGCACAAACATATGCATTTCGATGACATTACTATTATTATTTTGTGTAGGACACAGACATATTTAGATGTCGTAATTCCATGATTTGTTGCGTCTGTGTTATGTTCCGCATGATGGCCCTGTCATCTAACAACCAATCACCGTGATCATTGCGAGGAAGCTCGTGCATGAGAATTGACGTCATCCATAGCAACGAAGACTCACTCTTAGTTTAGGAGTCGTCATTTTTCCTTACTAAGAGTAGGTCTGAAAGGCGTTGTGAATAACTTTTAAGAGAAAACTCCTAGCTAAAATATTTTAGTGCGATTTAGGAGTACTCCTAGTGGTAAGATAAAAATCTTTGTGAATACGGCCCCAGATATTTTTTGGTGTAATAATGTGCTCAGGTTTCCAGTGTTTAAACTTGTAATATAAACTATTATTTGTTAGCCCACCTATATCACCCAATTTAAAATGTTGGCTAAAAATGCTTAAGATGTACAGTAGATGACATATACAGGCCCTCTTTTGCTTAGTTCATTGGCAGGCTCTGGACTCATTTTACATGCTGTGTTTACATGCTGTGTTATATCTTTGGGGGAAAGCATCACTGAAGGGTACAGCTGGCTAACTTCCATTTATCTCTCCTTCTCTATTTGAGAGGAATCACCAGAGAGTAAATTGTGTCAGAGCTGGGAGGCCACAAACCCAAAACCACACTCTTAGGCCCCGTTTACACGAGAACGATTCCGGGTGAAAACGTAAAAATATTTTTTCGGATGTGCCTTTCGTTTACACGGCAACGGCGTTTTGGGGGCTTAAAAACGCAAAAAAGTGAAACCACCCTCCAGAGTGGAAATCTTAAAAACGCTCCACCGTCGCGTTCCCGTCTAAACGGTAAAAACGCAAATCTGCTCACGGTGGCTCTCGTCGCGTACGCGTTTACGTCACATGCATGCGCCAGTACAGGAAAATAACAACCAACATGTCAGATTATTTCCATACGTCGGACCTTCAATTTGACCTAGCAGCTCTGAAAAACATACAAGAGTCTTTTCAACAGTTGTACAAAATATTCTAAGATATGGTGTTGTTGTGTGGCAGTGCTTCACATTGCCACCTAGCTGCCTGGAGTGCATACTACATCGAATTTCACACACTTTTGCGTCACCATATGCACGCGGATTTCCCAACCATAACGCTCGTCTAAACGCAGAATAAAAAGTGATAACGCAACGTCACGTTTGCGTTTTTTCTTCAGATCGTTTCCGTGTAAACATAGCCTTAGAAAACAGGTTCAGTGAGGTTCTATAGCCTATAGCAGTGGTTCTCAAACCTGTCCTTGAGTACCACCAGCCCTATCTGACACACACATTTCAGGTCTTGCAGTTTCTACTAATGAGCTCATGAGTCGAATCAGGTGTTATAGATCAGGGAGACATTCAAAATGTGCAGGGCTGGTGGCGGTACTCCAGGACAGGTTTAAGAACTGCTGGCATATAGAAACGTGTACAGGATTCTGTAACTAGGATTCTGAACTAATTTTAAAGGTGCAATGTGTAATATTTCTGTGGATTTATTGACAGAAATGCAATATAAAATCCATAACAATGTGTTTAGTGGTGTATAAAGACCTTACTTAATGAACCGTAAAGTTTGTATTACCTTAGAATGAGTCGTTTATATCTACATAGGCGTGGGAATCCCCTTCTATGAAGGTAGCCATGTTGTGACGTCATATTTCTACTGTAGCCGACAGCGGACAAACATCGTTACAGAGCGCGTTTCGTATATAACCGGAATAGGAAGCAGCAGAAAAAGACGCGGCAGAATTTGTGGAGAATGATGGACCACAGTTATTGTTCAGGAAAAGATTCGAAATCGGGTAAATCTGCTTCAAAGAAGAGAAAGTATGATGAAGCGTCTAGAAAAATAAGGCAGAATCGTAGACAAAAATCGCGGATCAACATCGGTGTGGCTTTTCCCAGAAGGAAGGGTCTTATGAGGGAAAAGGGCTTTCAAAGCGACGCCGAGGTTGCCTGTTTTCTGCTGGACAGGTAAGATATTCAAACTTTAACATTCAAAATTAAAACTGTTGTTTGATAATGTTAGCAATACCTAGACATAGCTAGCCATAGACACCAAGTGTCAGTTTTGTAAAATATGTAACTTAGATTGTTTCATGTAACTTAGTTCTTCTCCCTCGCTGTATTATGGGTTTGCTATGTGGGAAGAAATTTGCTGGTTACGTTCGTGAGACAATTAGCTGATTAGTATAATTATATTACATATTAAGGACCTTGATCCTTATCTGACTATGGATTTGTAAACATTATCTATGATGTGGTTTATATGATGACTGTTGTATAGAAACAGTGACAATGTTACACACTCTTGGCTTACGTTTGCTATGTTGTCTGTCGGTGATCATACTTGCACTAGATGTCATATTTTTTGGGATGTTCAGTTTATTAGGCCCGATGAGCTAACCATAACAAGATGTTACACATTGTGAATTACAATACAGTAATGTATTACAGTCGTATACGACTGTGTCATGTAGCACTTCATTTATTGATGCTGATGTTTTTTCTCCAGGTACGAGACAGGTCCTGCAACATCAACTCCCTTGAAGATAAAACCTTTTCAAGTCCCAGCTCCAGCATTGTCTAGTATAGGTGCTTCCAGTGGAACAGACAGGTAAAACATGCATTATGATGTATTAATTTTGTCCTAATATCTTTGATTATAAACATGATCATTATGATTTATTGTGTAATTTGAATTTATATTTGGTCTATATCTAGTGTTGAATGTACATATGTGGGATATATTATCAACTTTCTTTGGTAATTCTTTACAGAGATGAGCATCTTGATGTCATTGTAGAAGCCACTGAAATTCAGGGCCTTGAACAAAGGTAACATGTACACATCATTACATGTTAACGTTTTAGCCATGTATTGCTTTTCTCCAAATGTTCTTAACATATATTTATTTATTTTTCAGCTTACACGACATGAGCATTTTGGAGGAGCAATTGGAGGAAAGTGTTTTCAATGACCCAATGAACAGTGTGTAAGTATTACTTCATAATTATTATTTTTATTTTTGATGTAAATTAGTTGAGAACTTTTTTTTTTTACTGGAAGTTGTCATTATGTACAGAATTGATTGGGCAGATGAAGCTTCCCCTTACTCGCTTGAAAGAGATGATGGGCAGAATGGTTTCAGCTCGGATGAAGAGTATCTTCCACCAATTTCGATACGGTGTGTTATTTGTCATTCTCTATTTGCAATTGAGTTGTCTGTTTACTACAGATTTTTGTGCCTCAACAGAATGGGTGGAGCACTGAAGAGAGCACACTCTATCGATGGACTTCCTGTTATTGGAATAGATGAGACATGATATGCCTGCACATGAAGACCCTCTTGATGAGCCTTCTCCTTGCGATTATGACCCTGTTTTCCCAGAACCTCCGAATGTCCTTTGTGAAGATGACATCATAGGTGTCAGAGCCTCCATAGTGTATGAGAACTGCTTAAGACAACTGACTACATTTCTGATTCTGCCTGTGGAGAAATGCACTGGACTTCTGAGGACTGGTGCGGCGTGCAACTCTGTTGCACCCTTTGAGATCAACATCACCACCAGGGGCACATCAGTTTCTATCGAATGGGTAAAGCCAAACAATCTCAGAATACCACAACTTACAATTAGTATAAAATGAAAGTTTATACAACAAGGCAGTGCTGTACATTTCAAAACCAAATTTTTCTTCTATGTGATTTTTAGATCTGTCCTAATGGACACAGCTTGTGGAGGTGGAATTCCCAGCCTGCAATGAAGTTTGGAATGCAAGCTGGAGATTTTCTCTTATCCACCAACATTTTGTTGTCTGGCAACAACTTTGCAAAAGTTGCCCTCTTGTTCCAATTCATGAACATGGGGATGGTGAACAGGAACACCTTCTCCATTCAGGACACTTACTGCGTCAATTCAATAAAGGACTTCTGGGAAGAGAGAAGGACAGAGGCTCTTTGTCGGCTTAAAGGGAAAGATGTTGTTATCCTTGGTGTGTAGTTGATACTGTATTATGTAACATAGCTATTGAATACACTAAGCAATGACAGTATGGAAGCAATTCATTTTTTTTTTTTCTATTATACTATATTTATATTTCAGCGGATGGCAGAAATTACTCTCCTGGTCACTGTGCACAATACTGCAGCTACACCGCTATGGAGAATGAGACCAAGGAGATCATACATGTTGCAACCATGGACAAGCGGCAAACATCATGGAACTCAGTCGTCATGGAGAAGAAGGGTTTCATCCAGACTGTGGACAAGCTTACATCAGAGATAAAGCTTGTGGAGATCTGCACGGATGCCCATGCCCAGATTGGTGCCCTTATGAGTAAGTATTCAAGTGATATATTGTATGAATGCATAAGTATATTAGTAATTTAAATAATATAGTAACATAACATTATTTACCACTTCATAGATCCAGAGAAAGGCAAATACAAGGCTCTTGGAATTCATCACAGTCTGGACATGTGGCATGGTGCAAAGAACATTGCCAAAAAAAATAGCAGCAGTAAGTGTACTAACTCTACACAAAGACTATATTTGAATTCCTGTATTTAACAGAAATATACTTTTTTTATCTTTTCAAGGCAGCAAAGATAAAAGGACAGTCCATCCTCTTGAACTGGCTGAAGGACATAGTCAACCATTTTTGGTGGTGTTGCAAGACTGCCGACACACGTGAGCAATTTCTTGTAAGCACACTTTATTTTTATTATCTTTGAGTATTCTCATTAATTGCTATATTAAAGACATATTAAAATTGTGTTTTTATGTTTTGAAGGCATTATGGGTAAGCATCCTTCACCATGTCTGCAACATTCACACATGGACTATGGGAAGCTGTAAACACGGGCACCTTGAATCAGAGCAAATACGGGAAAAGGTGTGGATCCAGAGAGACTCCCAGTGCCACAAAGCTTTAGTGGATATAGTTCTAAATAAGAGGTGGCAGAAAGATGTCCACAAATATCTGAAATTCAGGTAGTGTGGCTATAGTTTTTTAGACTAATGTATTTTATTAATGTTTGTGTTTACTGCTCATGTACACAGAAGTATGCATTTCTTTGTTTGTTTGTTCTATTAGATCGACTGCAGACCTAGAGTCATTCAACAATCACATCCTGATGTATGCTAGCAAGCGCTATGCTTTCAGCCCTCCAGTGTATGAGGCAAGAATTCTGCTTGCTGCTTTGGACTACAATTTCCACCTGAACCGACCAACAATGAAAACATTGGATGGCAAAGAGATGTATGTTTTACAATTATATAAAATTCAAATTCAAAATACAATATTTGACAAATTGTTTTTTAAGCAATGGATTGTCTTTACACTCTTGGTTGTCTCTTGATCTACTGACAATTTGATGGTTTATGATTATAATTTGTGTATTTTCAGTTTCAAAAGATTGTATAAGAAGAACGCTAGAAGATACAGTGTATATGCCATGAAATCAGAAAAAAACATATGGATACATTTCCCAGCTGCAAAAAAGGATTGTGAATAACAGAATCACAAGCGGAGTGGGGATGCCTAGAAGGAGGAGCCTTCGACCAGATGACCCCAGACGGCTTGGTTTGGTGCCCCCCGTACCTGCACCAGCCACATCTGACTTGTTGCAGAGACAAGTCAGAAGAGGTCTAGGTAAGTAATAAAAAATTTGATAACTATATTGTACCCTATTACATGTCAATGAATGATATTTGCTGTACAATATAGTCTGTAACTGTGTGATGGCACTGTATTCAACAGGACCATTACTCCAACCAGCATCTGATGTGGAAGGATCCCCATAGGAGATCACCTTGCATGTGTCCTTGTCAAGCAGGATCACGATGGAAAGAACTTCAATTCAACGACAAAGTCATAGCTTTCAACTAGTTTCATCTTATTCTGCTAAGTACACTGTTAACAGCGCATATTATTTTCAGTAGGTAGCCCAAATTAAAGTTTTCAATTTTGAAAAGTAATGATAAGTAAGGCTACAGATGTACCATATTATGTAAATATAAAAAAATAAAATTGATTTTGATAATTTGAAGGCAAAGTTTGAAATTGTCATACTTTAATAAAAACATGTTCAAATGTATATAATGTAAAATAAAACACCATGTTCTACTATTTCTTAACTTTTATTTTTTCAATAACATAGAACTGCAGTTGAACAACTATAACAAAATATATAACTAGAAAACATAGATTAAAATTAAATAAAGACGGGAACAATATTAATAAATCTATATAGAAAAGTAATAAATCAAATATTAAATATGTACATTTGTTTGATGCCTTGATGATGCTGAGGCAGATTTGTGAGTACTTGTGTAAACTCTATGAACATGCCAGAGGGCCTGGAAGGAAATTCATAGTCCAGGAATAAAACCAGTGTAGTGTCCTTGAGGATCAGGGAACTTGTCCCTGATCCTCCAAACACAACAACTGGGAATGACAAGTTGGTTTCCCTGGCCTAAAGCTCCATGTTGCCAATAGATGAAGTGTCTATAGGCTCCATAACGGTACTCTCTGTTGTCATCCCCAGGCTCCCTGATGTTGCCTAATGCCGTAATGTCCTCCCGGTACTGTCTGTGAATGCGAATAAAGCCTTCTTCAAGGCAGTACTGGGAGAAGTGGGGCATTAGGCTCACACAGTTTGCTTGATCCTGGCCACAGCATTTCCTCTCCTGGTCCGTAGGCATTTCCCGACAGTTACCACAAGTACACCAAGGTACTTCTGGGACTCCAGCAGAAGGTGGAACACCGTGTCTGCGCTGATGCATTATCAAGGCATCAAAGATCAGGCCTGGCTGTCTCTCAAGCAGAAGGCTGGAGAGCTCTCTGTGTTCTTCTAGGGTCATCTCCTGTAGAAGTCTCTGGAGAAAAGGGACACAGGGAAAAATAATCAATATGCAATATTCTCTATTTATATACTCTGGTTACTATGTCTCAATAATGTTGTTTTTAATATTGTATCCACTCAAAATGAACTATAGCAGTACTCATTATTACTATTATTATTTGATGCTCTTGCACTATTTATCATTACACTTCTGCTGATGTTGTAAGTTATGTCAACGTCATTAACTTTATTTAGAATTATATTTTAAAATTTGTTTATTGTATTGTATTTCCTACTTAATATAGTGATTTCTTTTCCTTAGTATCTTGACATGCAAGCTTAGCAAATGTGACCCAGAGTATCCCTTAGGTTATCAATACATAATTTCTGATTCTGATAAAATATGTGCATATTTTAAATATTAAATATGTTGACAATATGGTTCCATATTGGGGATTGCAGTCTGGCCAGTATTTGCTAAACTTGTGTAATATGGCTTCATATAATCATTGTTGCCCTGGAAATGACAGGTTACACTATGAAAACATTCAACTACTAACTAACGTTACAGTACCAGGGGTACATGTGAACAGAGCTACTATGTAAATAACGTTATCACTGTGTGCTTTGATGTCATAAAGTGCAGACAGGTCAGAATATAATAACGTTACAATAACTTTATAAATAGAAACCTCGGTAACAGCTCTCCGGTTCCTTTGGAGGGCTAACACTCTTTCTTCATCCTCTATTGAGCCATCGATCCGGGTAGGTCCTCCTCTGCCTCTCCTTTCCCTGACTGCACCTCCAACACCTCTGCCTCTCCGCCCTCTTCCTCTTCCTCTCCCTCTACCTTTCCCTCTCCCTCTTCCAGTTACCTCTGGTACGTATTCAGGTTGTCCCTGACTCTGAAACCGTGTATAAACAATGCTGTCCGAGTGATGCCTCGGAAATCGTAACGTTAACTATTTCCTCTTACGTAGCTGCTTTGATGCTCTTATCCTTAGCTCTTATCTTGTACTAACTAGCATGGAAACAAGCTATGGTAAAGTCAGTGAATAAAACACTAACACAATGATGAACAATTAAAAATAACAATCGCAATAACATGTGGTTTTACTGAATAATTAAGTAAACACAATTTAATATAAAATATAACACAAAAAAACCTCATTGCTTGACTTGCTACTCTCTGCTGACTCAGACTCAGACATACTTTATCCTCTTTGACTTTATCCAACATTGGCCACCGTAGCTTCGAAATCGTGTTTGCAAATGGAGGGAGAGGCCGTGAGTGACTTGCTGTTTGCAATTCGCAAGCCTCACCACCAGATGCCGCTAAAAACTACACACTGCACCTTTAAGAACTATTTATGCCAACAAGGTTCTATATAAGGAGAAATGTCTTAAAGGATTGTAAAATACTTTCATGTTTAACAGGTTATTTCCTCTTTTTTTCTGGTGATAAAGTATGTTTAAGAGCTGTTTAATTCATAAAATGTAATTCAAATTAAAAATGTAATTAATTAAAACGATACTCGGTTACTTACGTAACCTCGGTTCTCTCTAGAGAGGGACGAGTATTGCGTAAGTTTAGCTTACGCTACGGGAAAGATTCATCTTCTCGAGATATTGAAGCCAAAAAATTATCCTTAATTTTGCATTCATTGTCAATGCAGTGCAGCAGCTAGCAGACCTAGAGCATGCCATCTCGCGTGCTCATTGGCTGCCCTGCGGGCAACTGCTGCAACCTACCAGTGAGCCCGGCGTGACGTCACGCCCAATGAAGGGCGCCCGCGCCTTCATAGCGTCACAGCCCGCCAGAATGGGCGTGGCTTAGCGTATAAAAGTAGGGGCTGTAGGCTGACTTCCCTGGTCTTTCGTCGACTGAAGCGAAGTCGCTCGTGGCGCGAGCACGGCCGGTTACGCAATACTCGTTCCCTCTCTAGAGAGACCGAGGTTACGTTAGTAACCGAGTATCGTTCTCTTACGAGAGGTTCTCTCGTATTGCGTAAGTTTAGCTTACGCTTCGGGAACACTTTGTCAACGCCGTGCGCGCCAAGCATCCACCATGAGACCCCGAACTTTCAGGGGAACCCCATAAGTGGAAAAAATAAGGTGGCCAGCCACGCGGGCCATCACTTGTACATAAGCACACATAGGGAATACAGAGCAGCGCGCCGGTCTGTATAGGCACATGGCACATACCCTACTAGTGCAGCTCAACCAGGAGAGCTGAGTCACATGAGAGTGATCTGAGCAGGAAGATCTGGGCAGAATACACATCTCCTTTCAAACTGACAAAAATTTTGCCCGCAAGGTAGGAACTTCTAGGTTATAAAACCTGACAAAGGTAGACGGGGAGCCCCAGCCCGCCGCTACACATATGTCATAGATAGAAATCCCACTGGACCACGCCCACGACGAGGCCACGCCTCTCGTGGAATGAGCCCTGATGCCCAGAGGGCATTGCAGACCATTTGACGCGTAAGCAGCTGCTATAGCGTCCACTATCCATCTGGACAGGCTCTGTTTCGAGGAGGCGAGACCCTTGGTGCGCCCACCAAACGAAACAAAAAGCTGTTCTGAACGCCTGAAGGAGGCGGAGCACGTAATGTAAAATCTCAGCGCCCTGACAGGGCAGAGGAGATTCACATCACTTTCGCTGTCAGATGCTGGCAGAGCTGACAGCGAAATAACTTGCGCTCTGAATGGAGTGCCCATCACTTTAGGAGCATAGCCATGTCTACGTCTGAGGATGACTTTAGAGTCATTCGGCCCGAACTCAAGACACGACGCGCTGACAGACAGCGCGTGCAGTTCCCCCATACGTTTTACTGACGACAGTGCAGTCAGAAAGACGGTTTCAGTGATAGATATTTCAACCCCACGGAGTCTAGTGGTTCAAATGGAAAGGCTTTCAGGGCCTCGAGGACCAATGAAAGATCCCACATAGGAACCGACGGGAGGCGCGGCGGGTTCATCCTTCTAGCTCCAACTGACCAACTCATGTCTTCCCAGTGACTGGCCGTGTGTCGATTCTGCGAACGCTGCCACGGCCACCACGGATACTTTGAGCGTAGATGGGGACCTCCCCTTATCCAACAGCTCTTGTAGGAAGGTGAGCAGATGTGCCACCCCGCATGTCCCTGGGTCCAGACCTCTGTCAGTGCACCTTCCGGAGAACACCGACCATTTAGACGCATAGAGCCTTCTCGTGGAAGGAGCTCTAGACTGCGTGATCGTGTTCATCACTCCTTCTGGCAGGGCAACGAGTACCCGTTGATCAACCATGCGTGGAGAGACCAGCGCTCTGGATGGGTATGCCAGATCGCGCTGCGAGCCTGAGAGAGGAGATCTGCCCTCACCGGAATCGGCCACGGAGCTGTATGTGACAGTCGTGCTAGTTCCGGGAACC